GGCTATTGGTTTTGCATTATTTACCCTTTAATAAGTTTTTCTCAGTTCACTGTTTGCCCCACATCAATGTTCTCAGACTCCTCAATGTGAGGTCGATTCCCAGTAGACCTGGACTCAATGGAAGAGCAGGGAAACATTAACATTTTTGTTTTATATCCATATACGTTAGAAATAAGAAGCAAGGGCTAGCAACTATATTATTAGATGCGTACCTATTATATTTTACACACCCATGCATTCCACACACTATTTTGTAGTATAATTTACGCTATAGTTTGGTGGATGACTTTTATTGAATCAGGAACTTTTGTTGGGGAATGCTTATCTGTATTAAAATCTCTTTAGCCGACCAAAGCCTTTGTCAAGAGTTAGTAATTACTTAGCAGCACAGGAAAGCAAGTGTGCAGTTTTAGGAACCCCTTTTCATCACTGCAGGAAGTTTTTATGAGACTAAGTTTGCACAGTCATGCTGAGTCTGTTATGTGGGTGGTAGATTTTTACTCAGGCATATGACCATAAGGATTTGGGGAAGCAAACTTCTGATGCGCTAAGTGAGCAAGAAGTTACAATAGTATTAAGATCACAAAACATTTTTTCTTTTTCAACTTTGCCTGATGATTTTGACTGAATTGAAAAAAAAAATAGCCTTAATTTCTATGGTCTGAGAGCTTTGCTCATGCTTAGTTTTACATTGATTTGTGTGGGTGCATCTTTTAATGTTATGTATGTTAAACTTGATGTTTCTCATACTATTTTCCATTATCCTCTTTCATTTAATTTAATTTTTTATCTGAAATTTTATTGAGGGATCATTTAAGTACAATTAACCACAACTATTTAAAAATACCGTTTGATGAATTTTGACAGTTGCACACACCTGCAAATCACTACCACAAATGAGATGCAAAACATTTCCATCACTACAAAAATATTCCTCATGAGTCTTTGTAAGCCATTCTTTCCTTGATCCTTGTCTGCTGACAACCAGAGATCAACCTTTTGCCTGCATAGATAAGCTAGCACTTTATGTAAATGGCAGTATGTAGCATATATTCTTCGGTGCCAGCCTTGTTTCACTCAGCAGAATCATTCCGATGTTATTAATTTATATTGTATTTCACAATATTAGCATAAAATAGGGGAAATGTGGCTATTTCAATACATGTGGAAAATATCATGGAGTGCCAGAAGAAAAATCAAATCTTTCTTGGAAGAAATGCAATAGTATGTTCTTGGGGAAGCTTTGACTCATGTGCTCTGGACATGTCCTCAGGAAAGATATCAGTCCCTGGAAAAGGACACCACGTTTAACGTAGACGGACAGCAGTAAAGAGGAAAACCCTCAAGGAGGTGGATTGAAAATGAGCAGCTGATACGAAGGGCTCAAGTAGAAAGATAATATTTTGAAAATGATGATGGCAACAAATGTACAAATGTGATTGATACAATGGATGGATGGATGGAGTGTAATAAGAGCTGTATGAGTCCCCAATAAAATGACTTTTAAAAAACCATTAATAATGAAAAAAAGTGAGATGCATTGACACCTCGTGGCTGCACCAATTGGCTGGAATTTAACAAGGATGGAGAGGTGCATTATAAAGAGCCTTAGTTGGTATGATGAAATTATTAAGAGTAACATTTGTAAAAAACAAAACAAAAAAACACGTTTTGTTTGTTTGTTTTTGTCCTTCCAAATACAATCATTTTTGAACATGTAAGGATATGTATCATTTTTGTAGACTTTCTGCCTGGTATAAGACATTGTAGAGAAGTTTTGCTGAACATTTCTTTTCAGAACATTCTTTGGAACCGTTTAGATCTGTCTTGTTTGTAGGAGATTTGGGTGTCTGGTTTGAGAGGCACATCGCTCCACTGGCCTGTTTTCACTCAACACCTTCACGAAACAGAAGTACAGCTTTTTGTTTTTTAGGGTTTTTTTTGTCCCTTAGCCTTCAGGAGATCATTGAAACCCCAAGTCCTTGATGATTCCATTCAAGCTAATTATGAAGGGGAATCCTTAAAGAGCAGGTACTTCTAAAAGAATCCCAAAGTACAGGGAAGTGGATGTCGTTACATCTGATCAGAATGAATAAGTGAGATAGTTAAAGTTTATTGTGCCAATTTACGCAGAGGCAGGAAGACCTTGTACAATATGGCTGATGAAACAATGGAAATTTATAAGTGAAAAATCAGATTAGTGGCTTACAAATGTCATATTAAAATGTTAACATGTCCATTTGTCCTAATAAAGACATCATTTCTGATTTTTGTTTTGCAAATATTTTTTTACTTTTGTTGTTGCTGTTGATGTTAGGTGCTGCCAAATTGGTGCCAACTCATAGCAAACCTTTATAGTTATGGACAATTGGCTTTCTATAAAGCTGAATAAGTTGGGGAAACATGTTTTCCCATTCTATTTCAATACATAAATTTGGCTTTATTTACTGTTCTTTGAATATCTCCTAGGTTCAATCTTTAGTTCATTTGTGGATGAGAAACAGATGATGCAGAACAATTCATCACCCCCTGCACAAGGTAACATGCTACTTATCTAGAGACGAGTAGTTTTGAACACTGAGTTGGACACTGAGTGTTGAACTTTTAGAAACATGAGCTGATAGCCATGTGTGGGAACCCATCTTATGCCTCACAGAAAATATAAGGACCTGAATGTGGTAGGATGATAGATCTTGAATGACACAATTTCTAATTGTTCACCAAACAAGCCATATTTTTACTTGCTTCTAAGCCTTTGTCAGTAGGTAGATCTCTTTGCAAAGGACAGAGCATAGATTCACCTGCCTCTCAGAAGTTGAAATCCTACGTTTTCCTTTACCTGGTTATGTGATTTTACTTGGCTGTGAAATTTTTTTTCTTTTTAAAAAAAATAATTTTTGGTTGGGGCTGGTACAACTTTTACTACAATCCACACATCCATTGTGTCAAGCACATTTGTGCATTTGTTGCCCTCATCATTCTCAAAACATTTGCTTTCTACTTGAGCCCTTGGTATCAGCTCCTCATTTTTCCCCTCCCTCCCTTCTCCCCCCTCCCTCATGAACCCTTGATAATTTATAAATTATTATTATTTTGTCATATCTTACACTGTGCAATGTCTCCCTTCACCCACTTTTCTGTTGTCCGTCCCCTAGGGAGGAGGTTATATGTAGATCCTTGTAATCGGCCACCTTCCCTCCACCCTCCGGTATTGCCACTCTCACCACTGGTCCTGATTGGTAGTGAAATTTGAGATGTTGGGGACTAGAGAAGAGGCAGGTTGTGCCAAACGAGGACTGATAAGCTATGAAATGCGTTGTTTAGAAAAAATAAACTTCATTCATGCAAAATTTTTGCCTTGCCCTACATAGCTGGTTCTGTTCAGCTTAAAGCAATGAGCTCACTGACTCCTGTTAGTGTTTGAACTAATAATGTCTCAATTGTGAGGATGGTACAGGACCAGGCAGTATTCGTCCTGCTGTGCATAGAGTCTGTATGAGTCGAGTCAGAACCGTATGGAGGGCACCTAACAATAGCAACCAGATCGCAGGAAACCCTGATCAGTCCAGGACTGCATATGTTATGTCACTTGATAGGATAGTAGGATGTTCTATGCTAGCAGATTGTTGGTTGCAGGGCTTCGATTTTTACCTCCAAAGATGGAGAAAAGAGGTTAACTTATGTATTTAATTCTAACAATTAGTTTGAACACATGGACACAAAATCTATGAGCAACTACTCTGTCTTGGGGTTTCTGTGAAATTGAATAGGAAAGAGGGCAAACTCACCCATAGCCTTTGATAACATCTCACAGGGAATCCATTTTACAGAAACTCTTTAAGAAAATTAATTCTTTCTTTTCTGTGTTTTGTATTGATCCTCTATACTAAACACAAGTATTTCTAGGCATCTCTTATTAGTAGACATCATCAATTTTGCTTTTTCAGAGATAGCTCAACTGACGAAATTTCAGGTTATTTTAAGATAAAATGATTTCCCTGACTGTGAGTCTCTGAATAAAATGTATAGTTAAAAAAGACGTTTCCCATTTACTCAAGCTGAGTGGCCACCCTACTTATGTTTCATGGAATACATTTACTTGGCACACTTTGCTTGGCTGAAACACCACCCTTCAGAAGAGCCCTTGATCCCTGATGTTACTAATGTTTCCTTTGCATCCAGATGTAGGAGGCAATACCCACAGAATTAACTAGTCCATTATATTTCCTGGGGAATAGAAGATGTAGGATAAACCTAATATTCTCCGTGACCCAAAGATTAAATTTAAAAACAGTTTGTGATTTCATCTATAATTCTGTTTTCTAATTTTTCATGTTGTATAGATATCAAAAGTCTGGAATTAATTTCAGAAGCCCCCCCCCATATAATACATACTGTTTTATTTTTATCTTTGTCTTGCCTTAAAACTATTATATACAATTTATGAATGCTGAATTTATTATCTAGATCTAAGATTGCTGGAATAAGAGTGCCACCCAAATGAGATTCTGGTATGATGTCATACATGAATAAATTTATGAAATTTATGGATGCTTATGTCACACTTTAAAAATCACAGGGAGCTACATATAACCTCCTCTCTGGGGGACGGGCAGCAGAGGGGTGGGTGAAGGGAGACGCCGGGCAGTGTAATATAAGATATAATAATAATTTATAAATTATCAAGGGTTCATGGGGGAGGGGAGAGGGACAAGGGAGAGGGAGGGAAAAAAAGGAAAACGAGCTGATTCTGGGAACCCAAGAGGAAAGCGAATTTTGGGAATGATGAGGGCAACAAATGTATAGATGCGCTTTACACAATTGATCTATGTATTGTGATGAATTGTATGAGCCCCAATAAATTGATTTAAAAAAAAATCAAATCACCCTCCTGTGTGTGTGTGTGTGTGTGTGTGTGTGCAGCGAACACGTCACTGTCCTTGCTGGTGGACACAAAGGCTGAGCTCTCCTGCCCTGCTCTCCCGCTGACCACTGACTACATGTCAACTTGGAAGATAGTCCTCAGAGACAGCGCTTCCTGCGTCCGAGCCTACAGGAGGCCTGGAAATGAGACCAAGGAAACCAGCTGTACTGTTAAGGGAATAACGTGGGTCTCCAGCCCCTCGCAGCCCCTCGCAGCGCTTCAGATTGATCCAGTCACCATCATGCACGATGGCTCATACACGTGTGAAATAGCAACTCCTGGTGGGAATTTCCACTGTCACTATGACCTCCGAGTGCTAGGTAAGACCACCACACACGTGGCATTTCGGAAAGCCAGGCTGGGACTGAATCACGTGTCTAAGTTCCATCTGTCGCTTCTGTTCCCACTGAAGCATGTTTGCCCTACGTCTCTGCAGTGCCCCCCGAGGTGAGGCTGGTTGGAACCGAGCCTGGAACTGCAGTGTGCCAGGCCCTTTCAGGGAAGCCGGCTGCCCAGATCTCCTGGACCCCGGAGGGGAACTGCGACCCTGCGCAAGTCACTCGGGGCAACGGGACAGTGTCTGTCCGGAGTAAGTGCCGCTGGAAGGACAGCAACGTGTCTACTGTGATCTGCTCTGTGTCCCACGTGACTGGGAACAGGAATCTGTCCCTAGAACTACATCCAGGTTAGTAGTGCTTGTCTGTGTTTTATTTTTTCATACTTTCGGAAGGTATATTAAGAAGGAAAAAAGAGAGCGCATAGAAATATGCCTACTTTCAATTAAAGTATATTTTCCTCCCTCCCCAATTTATTCCCTTTCCTCCACCAAATAAAGGGCTCTGTGTAAAACAATATCACAGAATTATTGTAGAAAGCTACTTTTTAAAGTGTAGTTTTTACTATATTCAAAATTCACTTTGTTGCTAGTAGAAACTGCTTTGAAACATATTATCTTAAACAAATACTTGTGACATTAATGGAAGGATAAGGTTACCCATAAATTGTCTTCCTACAATTTTATTCTTTAAAAAAATCATTTTATTGGGGGCTTATACAACTCTTATCACAATCCATAACATCCATCCATTGTGCCAAGCACATTGGTATATTTGTTGCCCTCATCATTCTCAAAACATTCGCTTTCTACTTGAGCCCCTGGTATCAGCTCCTCATTTTTTCCCCTCCCTCCCAGCTTCCCCCTCCCTCATGAACCCTTGATAATTTATAAATTATTATTATTTTCCCATATCGTACACTGTCCGATGTCTCCCTTCACCACTTTTCTGTTGTCCATCCCCCAGGGAGGGGGGTATATGTAGATCCTTGTAATCGGTTCCTCCTTGCACCCCACCCTCCCTCTACTCTTCCGGTATCACCACTCTCACCAATGTTCCTGATGGGATCATCTGTCCTGGATTCCCTGTGTTTCCAGTTCCTATCTGCACCAGTGCACATCCTCTGTTCTAGTCAGATTTGTAAGGTAGAATTGGGATCATGAGGGTGGGGGGCAGGGAATGGGGAAGGAAGCACTTAGGAACTAGAGGAAAGTTGTATGTTTCACCATTGCTACACTGCTCCCTGACTGGCTCATCTCCCCTCCCCCCCACCCTTCTGTAAGGGGATGTCCAGTTGCCTACAGATGGGCCTTGGGTCCCCAGTCTGCACTCCCCCTCATTCACAATGACTTGATTTTTTGTTACTTGATGCCTGATACCTGATCCCTTCGACACCTCATGGTCACACAGGCTGGTGTGTTTATTCCATGTGGGCTTTGTTGCTTCTGAGCTACATGGCTGCTTGGTTGTCTTCAAGCCTTTAAGACCCCATTCACTATATCTTCTGATAGCTGGGCATCATCAGCTTTCTTCACCACGTTTGCTTATGCACTCATTTGTCTTCGGTGATCATGTCAGGAAGGTGAGCATCATGGAATGCCAGTTTAATAGAACAAAGTGTTTTTGCATTGAGGGAGCACTTGAATGGAGTCCCAATGTCCATCTGCTACCTTAATATTAAATCTATAAATATATGCACATAGATCTGTTCTCCATCATCATGTAGAAATATATTTACATATGTACATGCCTGTATTTAGACCTGTTTAAATGCCCCCCCCCAATTTTATTCTTGTAGATATTTTCCCATGTAGGTTCTTTCTAATGGACTTAAGTAAACTTGCTATATCATAGTAACAGTTATGATTAGCTTATCACTGTTCAGTTTCTCTGCCCTTTTTTCCCATCCTACTCCCATTTCCTCCTGTTTAAAATGAATTATTTCAACCAGCACAGTACCTATAATCTAATTGTTCTATCAGGCTTATAATGAAAAACATCAGACCTTCCCCTGACACTCCCTCTCACTTCAATTTTTTTTGTGTCTTTAATAATGCATGTCTAATGTAAAACCTATTGGAGCCCTGGTGGTGTAGTTGTTAGCACTGGGCTGTGATCCACATGGTCAGCAGTTCAAAACCACTAGCAGCTCCGCAGGAGAAAGACCAGACTTTCTACTCCCACAAACAGTTAAAGTTTTGGACACCCACTGGGGGTCGCTATGAGTCAGCATTGACTGGGTGTCAGGGAAATGAGTGAGAATATAAAACTAGTGCATCAAAATCTAGTGGTGATGCAGAGTATCAACATTTTTAATTGTCACTAAACTTATCCGTTAAGTTAGCACATCCTTCTTAAAACGATTTTCACGTGGTCAAGTTTATTAGTTAATATACTTTTATCCCTTGAAGGCATCTCTTCTTGAGTTTTTTCCATGTTTTTTGTCAAGTCTATCCTGGTTGGTCCCAGGAGCTGTTGTAGAACAATTCCCCCTTTGCCCCATCATATGCGTCATCCCATGTCTAGCTAACCTGAATTCTTTCTGCCTTCCAGATATTTGTTTGAAAGTCTTCTTTCACATGGGAAGCATTCCCTAACCCTTTGGCTATCTTTACCTATCCAGTAACATTAGAATGATCACAAAGAGCTGATTGGAAGCTGCCCTATCCATGGGTGGGGTTTTCCAACCAACTAGCTTCATTGGGGTGAAAAGATGAAAATTGGAATTAAAAAAAAATTGTGACTTCCTCATGCATCTAAAGGTCTCATCCATGAGGCTGTCTGTAGTCTTCAGAGAAAGGGACTCATCAGTCTCTTGTGTTGGAGGGATAAGGTTGATATCAGTGCTTTGGGATCAAAGAGTAGAGATGACTGTGGGTGAAGAGCTCACAGTTCAGAGCTCAGACTTTCCGTCCATACTTCACCTCACCCTGGCACCTGATCTCCCCTTTCCTTTGTGTTTGGGACCTTCTAGACGCTAGTTCACCTTCTCTAGGCTAAGCCTCCTGTTTTCAGTAAGCTCTCCCGGTGGGGGGGCAGGGTGGGGTGGGGTACTTGGCAGCCTACTGCTCTCTCTCCAGACTTTCAACAAGTTCCCAACCTTGATTCCACACTGCAGTGCCCACACCCCTTCTTCACTTTGATGTTTCCTCGTCTGAGACTTCCTGGATTTCTGTGGGCCCTAAGAATTTAACTTATTCCACTTTGCAAACATTTGCCAGTTTCCCCCTAAAAACAAGTTGGAGTCTCCCTTTGGCTCTTGTCTTCATTCCTGTGCTTTTGGTCTTTTTAGGTCTATATGTTTCAAATTTCTTTCTTGCTGTTTTGATTTTAAGGAGAGAAAATCCCTGGTTTAAACGCCCCCCTCCCCGCACCAACCTCCCTGCCATCAAGTCAGTGCTGACTCATAGAGCCCCTGTGGGTTACCAAGACTGTAACTGTTTATAGGAGTAGAATGCGTGGTCTTTCTCCCACATTTAATGCAGCACATCTCAATATCAATTGGTACTGTGGATTATTTGATGATATTTAAACAAATATTTAAAGAATTTAGCACTATTTACTGAGAGCAGGAATTGTGCCCTGGCTATATATAGAATCAAACTATTTGATATTATACTGTGAAGTCATCCTTTTATTATTAGAAAGGACTCCCACCTAATGTAAACATCTCCTCTGTGTAGTTTTTGTAAGGAAGATGTCAGTCTCGGCAAGTGCATTTCTAACAAAAGCAACTTTATTTCTTTATATAGTCTATTTCAAACCATGTTGTTTCAACTGTCAAATCAATCATTTCTTCTTCAAATGAAATACTAGGAAATGCAATACTTAAAAACATTGAAAACAAGCTGCTGAAGGAAGGTAGAGAGATGGGGTGGCAACTTGTGGGCCTCCAGGCCACCTCTTTCTATTGTCTCTGAGCCATGTTCAGTGAACATGAAGAGCACTATTTTGCTTTTTTTTAAAAAGTTATGTCATTTTTGTCACATATGCTCATCATCAATACTGTGACCAATTTCTATTTTTATGTCCATTATATTGCAGTCTAAACATTAAACTGCTCTTTTTCTCTAGCATGCCAGTAGTTTTAATTTGGTATTTCAAATTAAATTTTGATATTGAATTTGAAATCTCTAGACAATGGGGAACTGGCTGCACATTTTGTATACCTCAAATAAAACATTATTAAAATATCAAAGTAAAGTATCACTTATTTGTTAACCTTTTATTCCATATATGGTTTACAATATGGAAGTTACTAGTAAAGTTTCTAAAAAGTAACTTTTAAAAAAATCAAGCATGATATTGTCATATTACTAGAGGTGCCATAGATAGTGGCTAATGATTTTCAGTATAATTTCACTGATGAAATAGTGTTATAAAGACGTGACTTTTAACTTCATTTATGTTAAGGAATGCATTCTTTATAAATTGGAAATGGCATATCTGATTTGGTGGGTTGTTACTAAGTAAGCAACCAGCTTCTTTACCTCTATCCATTCAGGAAGTTGATGGACACCCACAATGAGGTTTGTCATCAATCGATTTCACTTTTTTTGAAACGAGAAAAACACTCGTACACTTGAGTTTTTCCCATAGCGCTGTGCTTGTAAGCTGTGCTCAACAGGCCAACAGTTTCTGCAGCTTTTCCCCACCAAGCAGGAAACAAAACTTCCCATCTGCATGCTGTTCTCTTAAATTGTGCATCCCAAAAAATGAGGTTCGAACAAAATTGCTTTCACAAGAAAATTCACTTTGACCAGAGAGAACCTTCCTAGGTGATGCCACTGGGTGCCCTAACTCAGAGTAAGTTGCTAGATGCTCACCTAATAGGAAAAATACTACTAGGAAAGCTGCACTACGCCCAGCACAATTCTGGTTTTGTGCGGGGTGCCCCTTCTATACTGTTGTCTGCAGCTACTACGCATGTTGAATATGCTGTCATACCCTTATTTTGCATCAGTGCCCTGACAGAAAAGTAACCTCAGAATTCAGATTATTTTCCCAACTTCCTTTCTTACAATACTTCATTTATTTCCAAGTGTTAGTATTATTATGAAAGACAGATCACCTTTATGACTCTCCATCAGGAATCTACCATTAACGAATTCTTATCTTTAAAGGCATCATGTTCATTACATAAGGTTATGTCTTTCTTGGAATTCTGGAGTCTAAATTGATAAGCAATTTTATTATAACAATTTTTAGAACTACTAAGGGGAATGAGGTTCTTAAAATAAGATCACAGAAATGAATTTTATGTATTACCAGCTATCTCTGAACCATATATTATTGTTTCTATATTTACAGATGGTGAATTTACAAAGATCCATGTTTCTGAATATATCAT